CTTTAACTTGTTCTTCAACCATTTCTTCTCTCAACAATAATTTGTACATTTTTGCTATTAAATGTTCATTAGATTAGTCAGAATCTAATTTGATTAACCCCAGTCTGAGATCTGTGAGGCAGAGAGGGCTCCAATGGAGTCAGGAGCATGCCTCACCACTCCTGGGGCTAACTGGTATAGATATCCAGAATAGGGGTCAAACCAAAATCTGTTTTCTGGTAGCCAATCTTGCCCTAGGATTAGGTCCTCAATACAAGAGGACTCCCAAGTGGGGCCTCAACCCCAGCTACTTTGATCCACCTAACATGCTAAAATCTTCTGCTCTCCATTGTAGAAGGTCACTAGCAGAGATGAAATCTGCTAAAGGAAAGTGTTTAATAACAGAAATTTCAGCTCCAACAGACCCTACTTAGAACCATTGTGGGTTAACATAGCCCACTTATGAATGGCACAAGACTTTTAGTAGCAAGACACATAAACGTTCAAGAATATTTATTCTGTTCACACAAATTAAATGCTACCCAAATGAAATGCTCTAACCTGTATCTCTTCCTGCCTCTTCTCCTCTGCCCAGCTCAGGAGCCACATGCCAGGGCCACACTTGGCAGTTGGTCTCTGCCCCACACTCCTGCACCCAGCTCTCCATCTGCAGGGGCAGAAGGGCCAGGAACTGCTCCAGGACCAAGAAGTCTAACATCTCAGCTTTGTTCTCTTTTCTGGCTACAGCCACTGACTGCAAAAATGGTGGAGCTGGCTGCAAATCTCTCACGGTCCTTTAGCCTCTTCATAATGAAAGTCCCTGCAATGCTGGCACAGATCATGCAAACTGGTGGTTTCTTCATCAGTGTTCTTCTGCCCAGCTGCTTCTCCTCCAATCTCAGGCTGGGTAGCATAAGGAGCTTCTCCTCTTTCCTCGGCTGCATATTTTAGATCCATTTTTTCTATGTTTTCTAGTGCAATTAATACATGAAGAAGACCAGTCTTAGCGATCTTTAGACAGAGGATCTTGTGTGCAGAGCAAAACTCACATGCAGAACAACAGGCTTTCAGTTTCAGATCTCAGAGGGGAAAGCAAACAAACTGCTGGAACTGCTGAGAAGTTGCGGGGATGTTCTCATTGACAGTGGCCATTTTTATTCTTTAAGAAGAATCCCTTCTTAGAGCCACATCTTCCCACCCAAAACCAAAGCACGTTAACGCTGTTTGCTGGAAGAGGCATGGAGACTGCCTCCATTGTGGGCAGAAGGACCTCCTCTTTTATCCAGACAAAGTTCTTCCCACCAGGGACTCTCACCCCTAACAGGCAGAACATTGAGATTTTTCCATTCATCTCTATGGAATATCTTAGAAATGGAGCCTGGGGAAGAGGGACCCTACCAAGATTACAAAATGGGGGCCACAGACGAAATCCTCCCAGTCTGGTTGTGCATCTGGAGAGAAACCTCAGCTCTGCTTTCTCAATGTCAAGGGCCTTCTCCTGAAGGTGACAGGAGCCAACTGGCCCTTGCTTGTAAGGTGCTGAGCCCCAACCTAAATTTGGCTAGGCTATGCCTCCCCCACCTCCACTTGCACCCCTTTCTCTTCTCCACCTTCCATCAGCTGACTCTTCTTCCCATATTTGCCTTTTTCCTACCCATTTAAGATGACCACTGAGGAAGGGAAGGGAAGGGGACGGGACGGGACAGGAGGAAGCCATCAAGTGCATGTTCAGTTCTTTTCTTGAAGCCGGAGGCTGCCAGGAGGGCACGTTCTGCTGCAGATGCCCCCTGCTAGATTTTGCCTGCATAGAATCATAGGGTTGGAAGTGACTTCAGAGGTCATTAAGGCCAACCCTCCGCACACTGCAGGATTCACCACACTATCCCTGGTAGATGACCATCCAGCCTCTGTTTTGAAACCTCCAGGAAAGGGGAAGAAACCCCTCCACGCAGCAACCTATTCCACTGATTGAGAGCTCTTACTGTCAAGATCTTCTTAATGTCCAGTCTGTGTCTACATCCTTGAAGTTGCATCCCATTAATTCTAGTCTGAGACTCTGGAGCAACCAAGAATAAGTCCAAACCCTCTACAATGTGACAGCCCTTCAGATATTTGTAGACAGCTATCATGTCCTTCTCTTCTGCAAGCTAAACATACCTAGGTCTTTGAACTTTTGCTCACAAGACTTAGTTTCCAGTCCTTCCATCATCTTGGTAGACCTTCTCTGGAGTTGCCCCAGGTTATGTCTTTTTTAACATGGGGTGTTCAAAACTGAACGGAATACTCCAAGTGAGGCCTGGCCATGGCAGACTAGAGTAGGATCATTACTTCCTGTGATCTGGACTCTGTGCTCCTCTTCACGCTCAAGATGCCATTGGCCTTCTTTGCAGCTGCATTACACTGTTGAGACATGTTGAGTTTGTAACCCACTAGTATGAGAGTCTTTGTCAAAAGCCTTGCTAAAGTTCAGATATACTACAGTATATACATGGCATTTCCTCAGTCAACCAGTCTAGTAACTCTAACAGGAGATCAAGTTATTCTGGCAAGACTTGTTTGACATAATCCATGTTGGCACCTATTAATTTATTATGTGCTATTTATGTGCTCAGACATGCTGCTTGATCACCTGCTCAAGGACTTGCTCAGCATCGTCAAGCTCATAGGCCTGTAGTCTCCCGTCCTGTTCCTTCCTCCTTTTTGAAAATTGGAACAACATGAGGTCTCCAGGACTTCTTAAAGCTTACAGGGGACCTTGCAAAGGATAGGGAAAGTGTGGCATTTTTACAGGTGGCCAAGGTGATGGGAGTGGGAGAAACAAGTCTCTTCTTGGAAGGGATGTCCAAGGCAGGAACTGACAGGAATTGAGGGCAAGGGGCAACTGCAGATCCCTCTGGGCCACTGGGAGACTTTCTGGCCCCTTGAAGCCTCATTTCCCAGGACTTCCATGCAAGGCGGCCCAGGAGCCAGCATTTCAGGACATCGCTTCCACTTCTGGATGACTTCTTACCTCCTAATAAACACTGGTGTCTGTTACCAGTCCTACCATGTGTTTGTGTCTGTGTGTGTGAGAGAGAGCCCTTCAGGGTAGAGCAGACTGGGAAACCAAAGGCATGCGTGCTAATACAATTAATTAATTAAACATATTTCTACATTTTTACACAATCAAAATGACCTTCCACAGCTGACATTAAAAAAAATCATACAAGATAAAACATATCCAGTACAAAAATAAAAACACAACAGCCACAGAAAAAAGATGGCAACATCAAGTCAAATCAATCTCTGTGGGAAGTCGTCCTGGAAGGAGACTGTGCCTCGAGAACTGGAAAACCCAAGGTGGCGGTAGGGCACGTGATTTGCCTCTGCTCACTGACAGGCAATAGGGAAGTCACAAGTAGCTGGAAATACGAAGTGTCTGTAAAAAGGGACAAGTAACTGATCCTTAGGATCACAGCTCAGGAGGATGAAATTTGCCCTGATCAGAGAAAGTTTCCTAGCTGCCAATGATGGACACACATTTTCACCAATCCTGAGCATGGAAAGATGACCGTGGGGAAAAGGAGGCAAAAAAGCCAGGCAGTCAATCAGAGAAGCCGAAAAACTGGGACTGCGCATAGGAGGATAAAGGGAACAGCCTTTGGGGCAAGGGTCCAGAGAAGGCACCCATCACTGCTGCACTCCAGATGTGGTGTCCTCCTCTCGTTGTCTCCCTCTGCCACCTACAGCTCATCTTGAGAGGATTCCATTTCGGTTTGGGCCCTACTTGGACACTGCACTGCGGTCATCGGCTTGAACTCTTGATGATGAAATTCTTTCTCTGTAGAAATCTATCATCTATTCTTCGATAGCCAACTTAGTTTATTTTGTCAACTTAGTTTTATCTCACGTTTGCACGCTGTCGAGTAAAAATAGATTGCATTTCTTTTTGTTTCTTACCTCTGGTTATCACTCTGCCATGAAAAATATGGTTAAGACATGTTTTAAACATCAATGGTTCGCTTTTCAACTGGGGGAATGGGTGCATCTGAGAGTCCCCCTAGCCAAACATAAGGATAAGAGATCAGGAGTCTTTTATTATTATTTTACTATTTCTTTCTTTCTTTCAAAATATCTATAGCCAGCCCAATTGACAAGGATGCTGAGCAAGTCAAAGAAAGTCGTATAAACACACACGCAAAGCACACGTTTAACAATATACGTTGTTAGAAATCCCAATTTTTTAAAAAACCACATAGGCAACCAGTGAATAAAAGAATCCATAGGGCCCAGCAGCACTGCACTGCTAGTTTACAAAATGCCAATCTGATAGGGATCCAGGTGCCCCCGAGGGGAAGTGCTCAAAAGACAGAGCTGAAAGTTGAGTGTGTCAACACTGAAAGTCCACCTGTAGCCTTAACAATATGAGGGAAGGGGAAGACGTTACTGCACAGGGGAGAGAAAGATGCATACTTTAGACGATCAGCAGAGCAGCAGGAATAAGGCATCAAAGACATTTGTGTGATTCCACCCAAGCTGATCATTTTATGGAAAGTAAGGCAATTGATCATACCAACGCTCCTTTCAAACTCCATGCGTTTATACGGTTTCTCCCCCATGGATGCTCTTATGGGAACTAAGGTGACCGCTGTGAGTAAACCTCTTTCCACACTCCATGCATTGATAGGGCTTCTCCCCTGTGTGGATCCTTTCGTGGTCAGTAAGCGAACTGCCCCTTCTAAAGCTCTTTCCACACACCATGCATTTATATGGTTTCTCCCCAGTATGGATTCTTTCATGCCTGGTAAGCGAATGGGAGTCGCAGAAGTCTTTTCCACACTCCTTACATTTATATGGTTTCTCCCCAGTGTGGATCCTTTTATGGGAAGTGAGGTGACAGCTCTGGAGGAAACTCTTCCCACATTCCAGGCATTTATAGGGTTTCTCCCCTGTGTGGATCCTTTCGTGGTAAGTGAGGGAGCTGCTCATGATGAAGCTTTTCCCACATATCTTGCACTGATAGGGTTTTTCCCCTGTGTGGGTCATTTTGTGGTAAGTGAGGTAAGTGCTTTGACTGAAACTCTTCCCACACTCCGTGCATTTAAAGGGTTTCTCCCCTGAGTGGATCTTTTCGTGCCTGGTAAGCGAATGGGAGTCGCAGAAGTGTTTTCCACACTCCTTGCATTTATACGGCTTCACCCCTGTGTGATTCCTTTCATGGTAAGTGAGGGAAGTGCTCCTTCTGAAGCACTTTCCACACTGCGTGCACGTGAAAGGTTTTTCCCCCGTGTGGATCCTCTTATGGGAAATAAGGTTACTGCTTTGACTGAAGCTCTGGCCACACTCTGTGCACTTATACGGTTTCTCCCCGGTGTGGATCCTTTCGTGTCTCATAAGAGAATGAGAGTCGCAAAAGTGTTTCCCACACTCTTTGCATACATATTGTTTCTTTTCTGTAGCTACACCTTGATATAACCTAACAGAGACTTCAGAACTCATTTGGCGCTGTCTGTATTCACAGAGTTGCCTTTCCATGTGGATTCTGTAACGATTGCTTAAATCAGGTTCATCTTTGAATATTTCGCCACGCATGAGGAAATCGTTCGTTTCGTTCTCTTTCCAATGTTCTTGGGTCAGGAAGTCATGACTTCCTGCACTTTGAGAAGAAGGCTTCTCTGTATCACTGAACTGGTGGCTCTCAGGTCTTTTTAGTCCCCACGGATATTGAAATATCTCTTCTTGAACTTCTTGCTTGATGGTTTGCAATGATAACATCCTTGTCTCCTCATCATTTTTATCCTCCTGCCCATCAGCTCCTTGGGGAAATAATGAAACGTAACAGATGAAAATATTACTAGGATAAGGCAGAAACTCAGCATGCATAAGTTGCATCTCTTCTTTCAGCATCTCTAATCTTTCCTCTTTCCATACTTGGCGACCAATGTTATGTAGATGAGAGTGATGAGCGAAAGATGAGAAAAATAATCTTAGAAGCTGAAGTGTTAATTTCTTAGCTGTGAGATTAAACAGAAACTGCTAAGGTTGCTAAAGAAAATCTTTAAATTCCAGATGAGAAATGGTCAATGCATCCTAAATTGAAGGAGGTCCCTTCAACCTCTTGTTTTCCTCAGCACCCCAGGCAGATCGGTCTCTGTCCTATGGCTAGAAGACAACCTCATGTTTGGCATCATCTTGAGAGAAACAGAGCGACAAGAAATTCTGACAAGAAAATAGATTCTCTGACTATTTTCATAAGAGCAAAGAGGGGCCCTTACCCAGAGAAGCCATGTTCCTTGAGTTCTCCAGCATGACCTCCCCGTGCAAGGCTCTCTGTTCAGAACCCATCAGTGCCCATTCCTCTTCAGTGAAATACACAGCCACCTCCTCGAAGGATACAGGACACTGAAAGAGGAAGAAAACATTCCTTATGTAACTTCAGGCATTAAAGCAGATTGTGGAAGAGCACCGTATCTGCAGTCTTCAAACTATGCAAAAGAAGATGGATCGATCTCCCAGCCCCTCACTCTGAGCCCCAGGATTACAGATTACACTTATCAAAACATTAACAAAATAACTAATACATAATGTCTGTGTGTCTTAATCCATTACACCAATAACAAGACAATACCCCTTTTCGTGATATAATTTTAGATCGTGAGAGTCACTGAAGTTAAACATTTCTGGAGTCTTGAGGCCATCCTTCATTGCCTACCCACATAACTGAAAATGAAAAGCTAAATTTTAGTTGTATAAAATATAGTTGCAATTTTTTTTCCGTCTGAGTTCTTGGAGTGCTCCTGAAATCCATCGATGGATCCCCAAGGGTTTGTGGACCCCAGGTTAAGAATCCCTGCTGCAATTTTGCTGGATAAAAGTTGTAATAATATTGAAATTGAATTAAATTCAACTAACCCCTCCCAACATTTTTGCCTGGGAAACACTTAACTTACAGTACATCATTTTTTAAATCTCATGAGCTTTCCTTTCTTTGAATTGGTATTAAATTATTCTTTTGTTATTGTAATTAGATGATTATTTAACTGGCTCTGAATAGTCATCTACCAGGCAAATACTGTACTTTAGCACTTGTCTATAACTGTTAATTTTTGTTTGCTAATTTTAAACCTGTATCTTGGAGGGTTTTTTTTTTTTTTCCAAATTAGTTATTGAAGACCACAAGGCACAATGAATACAAACCCTATTCCTAAGAAATACGGTGTGCGTAGACTCCTGTTAAAAAAGAGAGATCTCCAAATGTTTCCCTGCATATTTTTCTGCTGTTCCTCCACTTACCAGAGCTGGAATCACAGGTGTGGTTTCTCTTCGACAGTCATGAGGAGCCAATTCTACAAATACTAACGATGTCCTGCTCCCTGTGTGGGAAACAAAATTGGTAGTCTGAAAGCATCCTTCGTGAAATCTGGAGAAACACTAGACACATGAGGAAAGAGAGAAAGAGAGATGACTTTCTTGTGGAAGAATTTCACAATTACCTGATAAGGTGTTTTGACTTGGATCTTCTGGGGAAATCTCCCTCAAGAGTTGCTCCTGAGAGAAATGTCCTGTTGCCTTGGGGCATTCAGCAACCATCTCCACCAAGGGACCCTGGCTCTGAGGCCGAATCCAAGAACAAAGAAGAAGTGGAGTTAAGGAAATGGGAAGAAGTGGATTCTTGCTCTCTCAAGTCCAAAATTTTCAGCAGTGGAGAAAGAAGGTAGCATTGAAGAACTTGCGTCAAATATGTTGTCTGGACGTGACCAAGGGAAAAATCTGCCTAAGGAGTTAGTTAAATATTGTCATCATGTTATGAGATCACATATATTCCTATCACGCTGTTAATCATACAGGAAGCAAGGCAACACAAAGCCAATGAAGAGAGAAGGAACAGGAACTCAGGATAATTTAAATGTAGATGGCAACACCACCATCACTCACTCTAACTCTGCTTTCTGATCTTGCAAGCCATCCTTGCTTCCACCGTATGTAGACAAGGTACTCAAAATCACCTACTGTTATGTAGACTGCTACACCTCCGAGTGGGTAAGACGAGGGCAGCAGTAGGCGGGTTCACAAGGTGGACTCTGTGTTTGAGATCCTACATTGTATACAAGCGCAGGCATGTGCTTGAGGTACATCTGGGATTTGGTCATGCTTGAGGCAAACTGGCCAACATGTGCCAGAATTCAGCAATCTTCTCCTCACTGTTGGCAGGAAATACTGCATGTGGCATGGGGGAAGCTGAGGCTGGTAACTTAGTCTAGACTTCCTCCACCTCACTAGACAGCAAGAGACGTGGTATCTGGAAACAACCAGTAGAACCATTTGCCTAACGATTTACTTTAATATTGCCCACAGAAGACTCTTGATAGCAAGGTATGTAAACATTCAAGAACACTGTTATACTTATGTTCCCACAAATTTAAAGATACTAGGAGGAAATACTCTCACCTGCATCTCTTCCTGCTTCTTTTCTTCTTCTTGGCCAAGGAGGAAGCCCTCTGCCAGGGCCACCGCCTGGGAGGAGGTCTCTGCTCCACACTCCCGGACCCAGCTCTCCATCTCCGGGGGCAGGACAGTCAGGAACTGCTCCAGGAGCACCAGGTCCAGCATCTCAGCTTTCGTTCTCCTTTTTGGCTTCAGCCACTGACTGCAAAGATAGTGGAGTTGGCTGCAAACCACCCGTGGTCCCTTGGCCTCTTCATAATGAAAGTCCCTGAAACGCTGGCACCGATGGTGCAAGCTAATGATTTCGTCAACAGCATTCTTCTGCCCAGCTCCTTTTCCTCTGATCTCAGGCTGGGTGCCATGAAGAACGTGTAATGTTCCTTCTCCTGGGGGGTCCATACACTCCATGTTCCCAAATCCAATTCAAAACTGGAGTACAGTTTCTCCTGGATCTCTGAAATCACTCCCCTTGGGAGGAGCATGAAGCTGTTAGTCTTCTTTCGTAGCAGTGGTTTTCATCTGCAAAAAGAAACCCATGAAAAGAACAAGATAACTTCCGCTTTTAGTTCAGGTAGAAAAGAAACAGCTGGAATGAGTGAGAAAGGTAGACCAGAAGCTGGTCCAGATGTTCTCACTGAGAACTCAACCCCTTTGGTTCTTTAAGCAGAATCCTTATAGAGTGTGGAGGCATAAGAGCCAATTCTCTCCCCCAAAATAATCTCAAAGAAGCATCTTTTGCTGCCCCGGGGATAGAGGCAGGCAGGCAGGCAGGCAGGCAGGCAGGCAGGCAGGCAGCCGGGCAGGCAGCCGTCACTGCAGGGAGAGTCCTCATACTTATCCCTGACCTCTCCCTCCAGACAGGACTTAGAAGGACCTTCTTTCTCACGGCTTCAAGGGCTACTGTATCTAACGCGAAAACAAGTGAGCCAGCCTGGATCCTCCCTGCAAAAGGCCAGGCCAACTGACTCCCACCCCCACTCCTGGGATTGCCCCCCGTTTTCTGCTTGCAGCCGCTTCTCCCCCGGTCCCTCCTCCCCCATCAGCAGATTCATCTCCCCAGAAGCAAACTGAGATCCCTGGGGGGGGGGGATTGATCCTGTTT